ATAGAGTTAAATTGATTTTAAACATGTTTTTTCTTATCAAAAATAAATTTTTAATGAAAGGAGGATTTCCTAAATATGGTATGTTGAATTATATTGTATTATAAACATTATAGAAAAATTCAAGAATAATATGTACTTCGTAAATCGTTTTCAATTTTTTAGATATAAAATAGGAAATTAAAATCTTTAAAACAAAAATATTTTATAATTTTTTATTGTCGCTAATATCATAATTTTTTGTTCATAAATACTAAATATTGATTGTTAAATATTGTAATAATTAAAAAATTTGTTTGAAATTTTTTGTTTCTTTTTTTATAATTAATATTTATTATTATTATATATACATATATAATAATTATAAAACATAATAAGAAACAAATATATATATATTTATATATTATCATTATTATTTTCATTATTATTATTATTATTATTATTTATGATTCATATTTTTTAAAATTTAAATTATATTTCTTAAATATATTTAATATTTATAAATTATAATATTATATATTTTTTATTCTAGGTTCTACAATAAAATATTTAAAAACAATAATAAATTATATGCAACTAAAAGTAATGTCACTAAAAATATTGTATTTATTGATGGTGTAAGAACACCATTTTTACATTCTGGAACAAGTTATAAAAACTTAATGGCATATGATCTTGCCAGACATTCATTAATGTAAATTTTTACTTTTTAAATATATTTAATCACATCATATTAATTAAATCTTCATATTATCATATTTAATTAATATACTTTTTAATTAGTATATTTTTACTTTTTTAAATAAAAGAAAATATAAAATATTTTATAATAATTAAATTATAATTATTTATAATTATTTACAATTATAATTTTATAATATTATGTTATAATAATTTAATTTATAATTTATATATATTTATATTTTATTTCTCAGGGCCTTACAAAAAAAAATTAAATTTCCTAAAGAAATTGTTGAATATATTGTTTATGGTACAGTAATACAAGAAGTAAAAACTTCAAATATTGCTAGAGAAGCAGCTTTAGCAGCAGGGTATAGTGATCGTATTCCTGCACATACAGTAACTATGGCATGCATCAGTAGTAATCAAGCTCTTACAACTGGTATGGGTTTGATAGCATGTGGTGTATATGATGTAATCATAGCAGGAGGAGTGGAATTTTTGTCAGATATACCAATTAGACATAACAGACGTATGAGAACATTGATGTTACAAGCTAATAAAGCAAAAACAATTGGAGAAAAATTAACACTTCTTACTAATATCAGAGCAGCACATTTTATACCAGATGTATATTTTCTTTTATCTCAAAATTATATTTTAATTCTAATTATTATACTTATATATTATATTTAATTTATTTATATAATTACAGTTACCTGCAGTAGCAGAATTTTCTAGTAATGAAACAATGGGACATAGTAGTGATAGAATAGCAGCTGCATTTGGAATATCAAGAAAAGAGCAAGATGAATATGCTTTACGTTCACATACTTTAGCTGCTAAAGCACAACAACAAGGATACCTCACAGATATAATTCCGTACAAAAGTAATAGATAATTGAATAAATGAAATAAGGTAATTAATCTAAATATTTTTTCTAGTTCCAAATGTAAATGAGGTAATAAACAAAGACAATGGTATTCAAGTTTCAACAAAAGAAAGATTAGCAAAATTGAAACCAGCATTTGTTAAACCATATGGAACAGTTACTGCTGGTAATGCTTCTTTTTTAACTGATGGTGCATCAGCAGCTTTAATAATGACAGAAGAAAAAGCTCTTCAACTTGGTCTTACTCCAAAAGCATATTTAAGAAATTTTACTTATGTTTCTCAAGATCCTATTGATCAATTACTCTTGGGACCAGCTTATGCTATACCGCAGGTTGTAATATTTTATTATTTTATATGTTAGAATTTTAATACATAATATTTTTAAAATAAATTTTAGGTATTGCAAAAAGCAAAATTAAATGTTAAAGATATTGGAGTGTGGGAAATACATGAAGCTTTTGCTGGACAAATTTTAGCCAATTTGAAAGCTTTAGATTCTGATTTGTTTGCACAAAATTATTTAGGAAGATCTTTAAAAGTAGGAATACCAGATCTCAACAAGTGGAATGCATGGGGTGGATCTTTGTCAATTGGTCATCCATTTGCAGCAACTGGAATTCGATTAGCTACTCATACAGCTAATCGACTTATCAAAGAAGATCAACAATTTGGATTAATTGCAGCTTGTGCAGCTGGAGGACAGGTAAAAAAAATTGTAAAAATAACTAAATATTATTGATATCTTATAATATATTTTATATCTTATTGATAAATTTATATTAAGTAAATTTGTCTTATTCTCAATCACAGGGTGTAGGTATGATTATGGAAAGATATCCTGATGCTAAGATTTGAAATACAAAAACAAAAAATAATAAGCATTAATATTTTTAAAGAAATTTATATGTTGATTTAAAAAGAAAAAGTAATTATTTATAATATAATGATATATAATGTAAAAAATATAATGATATATAATGTATAAATTTAAAAAATATATTAAAAAAATTTTATATATAATTTTTATGAAAAAATTGTTGGTAAATTATTTAATATTTTTTCATGAATAATTTTTTATTATATAAACAAAATTATTTTTCTAAAAAAAGAGAAGGAAGTGATTGTTCTGTTAAATATTGTCTAACTGCATGATCTAAAATAGTTTTTATATCTTGACATCCACATAATACACGAGCTTTCAAAGATTCAAATTGAGACAAATGTAATCTTTGTCCTGCACCTTGAGCTACTACTATTAATCCATCTTTTGATATACCATCACTATTTGGCAATGCAACAACAGATAAAGTAACACCAGGAGCACATTCTTCTACATAATTTGCATCTAATACTCCTCTTTCTAATGTATTATCTTCATCTTCTAAAGATGGGCAATTAATTAATGTTACAGTGCAACCTATAGCATAATTCTATAAAAATAAAATAATAATTTTGTTTGAAAAAAATCCTTTTTGATGAAAATTATAAAATATTTATTTTCTATTTTATTATATATTACCTTAATAGGAATTCCAGCATCAATTAAAGCAAGTGTAGCTGCATTTACAGATGCACAATATTCACTTCCATCAACTTGTAATGCTTCTACATAAATATCTATCTGTGAACGTGGATATAATTCTAGATGTATTATTGCTTCCATTGCATGTTTTAATTGAAGAGATCTTTCTTGCGATTTTCTATCACCTCTTGGTTTGCGTTTACGTTCTCCGGAAGATAAACTAAATACTGCCATGCTATATTGACAATTTACAATACCTTTGGTAACTTTACTTGTACTTCTGCCTGTAGAATTTCTTGGCTAAATAAATATATCAATTATATATAATTTAACATATTAATATTAAAATTATGATATATAAAAAATTGTTAACCTGATGAGGTCCATATACTGTAACCAAAATTTTAGTGTTACCATGTTCGATATAGGCACTTCCATCAGCTTGTCCAAAAACTCCCATTTTTATACGAATTTGTCTTAATTCTAATGCTCGTCTACCATCTAGACGTAATCCATTTTGGTCTTCAATATTTTCAGTCTCAATCATTTTTTTTCAGAAATTTTAATATTAAAACTAACCTATAACATACATAAAACACATAACCAATCAGTCGAATTTTAATTCGATAATCTCATTGGCTATTTGATCTATCTTGAATAGCTTTCAATTCCAATTATATCGATATCTTTTTTCACAAATTAATTTAAATATTTCAATCTAATTTATTTATTTATTAATAAATAAATTACTTACTTGTAAATTTCAAATAATAATATTTTTGTTTTATTCTTTAATATTTATGATTTTATAAATATGGAATAATTTATTTCATTTCTTTAAAAAGAAATTATATAATATTAAGTATCATTCAATGTTTATGTTTATTTATTTATAAAATATAATTTAAAGGAATAAAATTCATATATTTTATTAAATTTTTATTTTTTAAAAACAATTAATATTTCATTTTATATATTTTTTACAAATATTTTCTTTATTCTACAAGACCTAATTTTTGTAATAAATCTTGCTTATCTTTAAAATAATCTTTATACCACATTATATGATCATATTTTTCTTCAATTTTCATATATGGATTTTTTGAAAGTCCAACACATACTAATTCCATAAAATGTCGTATTGGACCCTTAGAGGGACACCATGGTACTAAATGGCGTTCCAAAAATACATGCTTTGAAAAATGTACATTATATTCATCTTCCATCCCTATATTATGAAAAAAAAATTTACATTATATATACTATAAGTTATGTATAAAATAATAATAAATCCTACATTTTATAAGTACCTTGTTCATTATCTATAGGAAATTTCCATAATTTTCCTTCTTTAGTCCATTCAATCATTTCCTGAAATGCATTTTTAGGATATTTTGCTATTAAAAATTGTAATTCCTTTTCTTCCCATGTATCCCACATTTTAAATTTAGGAACATCCAAGTTTTCTAATAATCCATTGAAAATTCTTTCATATTCTATAATTTCTGCATCACTGAAAAATTTTATATAAATTATTTATATTATATATATTTTAATTTTTCTTAATAAAATATACAACCTTTTGTCAATATTTTTTATTTTTCTTTTCTGTTTATATATAGATTTTAATTGTTTTTCTTGTTTTAACATTTTAATGATAGATGGTTTCTCCTTTATTTTAGTTTTTATTTCAAATTTATTATTAATATCCTTCATTTTTTCTTGTATATTAGATCTTTTTAACATTTTAATAATAGATTCTTGTTCAATTTTTCTTTTAAACTTATCATCAATATTTTTTATTTTTTCTTGTTGATTTTTTAACATTCTAATAATAGATGGTTCTTTTTGTATGTCTTTTTTAAACATATCAATTTTTGTTCAAATTTATTATCAATATTTGCCTTTTTTTTTGTTCCGTTTGTAACGTTTTAATTATTGATGTACTTGATTTTGTTGCATTATGATCATATTTTGTTCAAATTTGTTAATATTTTTTGTTTTATTTTCTTGATTCTGGAATGAGAAAGATTTTTCTTGCAATTGATATTTCATCTTTTTATCTGAATTTTTGATATTATTTTCTTCTTTCCAATTTATTTCTTCTTTTTTAATTACATTGTTATATATATTGCTATAAATAATACAATATTTATATAATATTATTATAATCTTAAAATGAACTAATAATTTAATTTAAAAGATTATAATTAACCTTTTAGTAAATGTATTGTTTGCATTTTGTATATTACCAATTTTATTTAACAAAGGTAAAAGAACTTTTTCTTTATCTTGTGCTGATGTGGTAGTTAAGATTTGAGCTGCTTTAGTTATTTCTTTTTCTATAATAATAAATTTTTTTATCTTATTACTCATTTAATTTGAAATAAATTGATATCTTACCTATTTGTCTTTTTTTTTGCGCAACTTTTGCACTTTGTAAATATTCTATAGGTTTAAATACTTTCTAAAAAAAAAAAATAGATTAAAATTTGCACACATACAATTACACATAAAATATTTTTTAATTAAAAATTATAAAATATTTACATTATTTTCTTTATCTTTTTTAGAAACTTCAGAATCAGAACTTGAATCTGAATCAGAAGATGAATCAGAAGAAGAATTAGATGATGATGAATTAAATCTTATTATAGTTAATGTAATATTTGATTGAAATGGTAATGTAATTCGAGTTCTAATACTCCTAAAAATTAATTGTAAATAATTGTAAATAAATATAATTATTTAATATAACTTAATAATATAATATTATAATATTATATAACTTAATAATATAATATAAAATTATTAATAATTATTAGAAATTTTATTAATATAATATAAATTATTAATAATTATTAGAAATTTTGTAAAAAATTGATAGATTAATAGAATTGCTAAGGTTATTAAAATAAGTACTTACTTTAAAAAAAAATATGAAGTTATCATTTTATTATATTGTTATTACTTTTTTATATATTACTTTATTTCATAATTAAATTTATAATATAAATTAGTTAAATACTAAATGTCATGTTATAAGTTAATATTATATGAATAATTCTTATGATTGATTCTTGTGTTAACCTTTTCTTATATAAATGTGAATTAAAAAATTTAATTCATATATATTTGTAAATAAATTAAATTAAAATATATTTTTTCTTGAAATTTCATTAAAAATAATTAATATTCATTATTTATTTACTTTTACATTCATATAAGACATATATATATATCATGTTGCATTCATAGAAATGAATTTAAAACTTTTAAGTCTAATTCTAATTTATAATCTTTTGCAATTCAAAAATTTTATTTGCGCAGATATTAATTAAATATATTAAATTTTTAGAAATTATTCATTTGAAATGAAAAATTTTTCTTAAGATAATATAAATTATAAATTAGAAATAAAAAATAATTTTTAAATTAAAATTTAATAAAATTATGTTCTATTTATTTGACATACAATATATTTAACATTTATGAAAAGAAATTAATGTATTTTACAAATTTGTAATTCATGGAGTTAGTTTATTGTATACACATAACAATGTCATATATTATTTATTTTTTCTCTGAAATTGTAAGACAAAATATTTTATTAAAGATTCATGAAATCCTATATCTCTTAATGGGATCCAATAATTTGAAACTGTGAGTTTAAGATACAATTATAATTTATAAATTTACATTTACAAGGCTTATACTAAAATTTTAATATTAAAATAAACTTACAAAATAATGCTATTTCAAATTTTAAATGGGTTGCAATAAACCCCAACACCGCCAATCATATAACAAAACTTAAAATATAAAATAAAATGAAATTTCAAAATAAAATTAAAAATTTATGTAGCATTATACAGCAAATGAATTATCTGTCAAGAATTTTACAAATAATCATTCTTCTTGACAGTTAAAAAATTAAAAAAATAATTGATAGGTAAAGCGAGTAAATTAATAACATTACATACATGCTATTAAAAAATTTAAGTGAGCCATATGCATAATTACAAGGCGAGTTTTTTATCATATTAATTTCTAGATAATTAATTAATTTATGCTTAATATCTAACTTGTTACTGTGATTGGGAAAATAAGTCAATTTAATGAAAGGTACAGCAATAAATTACTTAAGTGAATAAATATATATCAAAATATATAGTCAATATGAAACAGGTCCATTCATACTGCAATAGATAGAATTTCCTTCGTTGGACACATATAACTTTGGCTCTTTTTGCTTGCCAGGGTAATAAAAAATATCAAATGTGTAAATGTGATATCAATCAAGACGAAGATAAGTGGAGCATTATATTTGAATCTTCTAATGCTGATAATGGTAATTCACTTTTCTCTTCTTCAATACGGGCATCTGAGATTTTTAGGAACTTAATCACCTTTTCTGTAGCAGCAATTCCACAACTGCTTACTTCATTCTAAAATAAAGTATTTATACTTTCAAAGTTTCTGATGATTTTTTCTATTTATAAAAATTAAAAATAATTACCGACGCCGTTAAATTCATGAAATTGAAAAATTTTTGAAGTACAGATACCATAGTTGTAAAATTATTATCGGGAAGTCTGCTGCGTACTAGCAATTCATAATCCTATAATTAGAATTATATTATTTTTTTTTTTTATAATGTTATCTCTGTAATATTAAATTTTTAAATTTATTACCTTGTTATCCATTATTAAGTAACCAAGTAAAAGCACTACATATGCTCCTATTAAAGTGTGCTCCATATGACGTCCAGCTTTTTGTAATACTATAAAAAAATTGTTTAAATTATATTTTATGAAGTTTATTATTTTAAGAGTTAGATAAATCAAAAATTATACAAACATTTTGTAACAGTTTCTTCAATAAATTCTTCTTGAGATTTAGTTGTTGTTGATACAGTTTCAGTTTGCTCAGAATCTTTTTTACCATCTAAAATAGCATCAGTTTTTTGTTCTTCAGCACGAGCTAATTCTTCTTGTTTATAAAATAGATCGATTAAACATTCTACTCCACTTTCTTCTGCTTTTTTATATAGAAATAAAATTGATATATTGAGTTCATATTAACATATTAAAGATATAACATATTAAGTAATAATAAGATATATTAAGTTCATGAGAAAATAATACAAAATAATATTCATAAAATAAATAATATAATTTACAAATATAATTTGTAAAGTATTTACCATCAAAAATATTTTCTATTGATGAAGGAGCTTTTGATTCAATAAGAAGTTGTTTATTATCATCACATTGTTCCACTAAATTTATCAATAAAATCAAAGCTAACATCATCATATCAAAACGTTTTTCTTCAGGAAGTGATTCGGGTACACGCAATAAAAGATATAGGCTGCAATCTAAAACACCTGGTTGTGAACCTAATGATTTACTTCCAAAAGCTGAAATAATTGTAAAACATCGTATTATATTTTTTAAAAATAAATTGTTAATATTTTTTAAAAGATAAAATATAATAAAATCCTACATTGTCTGTTAAATCGATGTGTAAGATTAATAAGAACTTTAATAATAGCAAACAAACATTCTCTAATAACAGCACCAGTGGAAGTTTTATCACTTGGATCTATAGTAGGGTAAATAGGAATTTCTTGTCCACAAAGATGATATAAATTTGCTAAAGTGCTGACTAAAATTCCATTTTCATATTTTAATAAATATACTTGATTTTCTTCATTCATATGAGTAACCTGAAACATTTTTTATTGATAAAAAAAATTATTATTGTGATTTTTACGTATGTAAATATATTTGATGTAAAAATATATAAAAATATTTTTTTTTATTTAAGAACATATATCTTACATTTTCTAATACACGTAAACATCTATCAACTTTACGTAATTTATCTAATAATGGATCTGTCCAATCAGATTTTGTAATATTTTGTGTATTAATATGGCGATGACAATCTCTGATTGTTTTTACAATATGTTCTAAACCACCCAATTCTCTCAATTCTTCTTTAAACCATTCACCAGCACGTTTTGATGTAAGACTAAGAAGTGTCTCCATAGCAAGTTGACCAACCTAATTCAAAATAATTTTTATGTATTCAATTAATTTTTTACATTTTATTTTTTATTTTCTGATTATGAATAAAAATAATACATACAGTTATATTATCGAGATTTAAATGTTTTGCATGTCCTTGAGCTTGAATATCAGCGCATAACTGACGTACTTTTTCTTTATTTTTTAACAATTCTGCTCGACTAAGGCCACAATCATCAAGTGCATCCTTGTGACTGGCATCAGATTCTAACAAACTTAACATTAATTCTAAACAATCACGATCTAAATCCATAGCTAAACGATCTTGACTTAATACAAACATTACTGTTGCTGTACATAGAGCAAGACTCTACAAAATACATAATTTTGTTTAAATAATAATTTTCATCTATTAATAAAATTGATAAATATATATATATAGATAATATATATATATATATTTTTTTAATTATATTAATAAAATTGTATACCTGATCTTTTGTAGCATCATGAAGAGCTTTGAAGAACTTAGCAACAGTTCCATGAGCACGTACATGCATACGAAATGCAGGTGCCATACATTTGCTTGCCAATCTTATAGCTGAAAGGCAACGAGTAGCATTTGGATTATTTTCTCTTAAAGTATCTAATATATATTCAACATCATCATTAAACTCTTGAAATTCTCCACTTTCTTGAATTTGATGAGCTTTTTTCACATTTTTTACTACTGTGTAGAACTAAAAAAATAATATTATTTAATATTAAATGTTTAATAATATATAAATTATATAATATACATACCCCCTTTATCTTCCTACCACAACGAACACTTGTTATAGCATCAGATTCATCTTCAAAACCTGTATCAGTTTCAGGATATGTTACAACTCTTGTTAGTTGTGAAGGATCAAATTCTTCTTCATATGCTACAGGACCTGTTCCACTATGAGATCCTGAAGCAATAATAGGTGTACTATTTCCAACATTAGAAGTATCTGTGGTACTAGATTCTTTATCACTATCACACCATTTATGTTTGTACAATGCTCTTCTTTTATTTCCATTTGTTGCACCTGTTGAACGACTTTTAAAAATACTTCCCTTTTTAGTAGCAGGTTTCTGAATAGTTGTACATGGAGTACTTAATGGTTGTGATTCTGTAACTGTACTTGTTACATGTAATGCTATATCATTTTCTGCATTACCACTCACACCTTCACTATCATCACTCCCAGAAAACCAATCTTGGTCAACTAAAGTTTTAGCTGTAGCTGTGTCATTATCAGTAATACGAGTACTTTGTTCTGTTTCTACTTCAGTGTCAGGTTCTGGTTCTGGATCTGGTTCAGTTTCTGGTTCTGGTTCTGGTTCTATTCCTAACTCCAGTGTTGATTCTGATTCTGATTTTAATTCTGATACTGATTCTAATTCTGGTTTTGATTCATGTTGTGAAGAGGATTCAGAAATTACTTCATTTGTTGGAATATCTATAGAACAATGTTGAACGTCATCTGGAACAGTTTCTGTATTTTCTTCAGTCTCTGAAGTATTTATTATCATTGGTCTTGTTTGCATAGGATCAGAATCACTTGATAATATATCGATTAATTCTTGAGTTGTAGTTGGCAGTGGCTGATCACGCCCAATTAATGGTTCAATTGCTGGTTTACAAGAATATGTAGAACCACAATCAGTCTTAACAATATCATAATGAGATATTAATGTATTATTGGAATCGGTAACAGATTTCCTAAGAGTTAAAGAAAGACCAGAACTATGTGAATTAGATGTTGCTGTAGATACAATAGAAGATGTTGTAGTTAAATCTAATTGTAAATTTTTTGCTCGACTACGGGTAGTTCTACGCATCTCTGAATTTTCTAATGGTATTGATACGGTGGAGATAATAGGTTCTTGAGAACGAACTGTCTTATGATCAGATTTTAAT